TATATCGTTAATTTTTTTATTTAATTTTTTAAATTTTATATTTACAATGTTTAATTTAATATTTTTTTCTTTTTATATACATTCTTCCATCTCTCTTTCAGGGCTTTTTGACCCAACCAGAATCATTATAGAAACATTTTACAAGAATATGATTGTTTTCAGACTAATTTCTACTTTGGGACAGTTAACCATGAGTGTCATTGGTCAACACAGTGAGACCCTTGCCACATTTTTTTTTTTGTAAAATATTATATGGAGAGTGACACATGGCACCATTTTGATGATGCTTGAGTTGTCTGCATGATCACTATCTATCGATACGTCTAACTTCAGCGTCACTTGTTTTTTTTTAAATTTGTACAAATGACAGCTAGCCTAAAATGCGACACCTTTTTCTTTAAGTACTTTTCTAATTTGTTAATGACGCTACCTATTAAAGGAGGACTAGTTTTTTATTTTTTATTTAAAATTAGTTAATTATAACTTATTAAATTATGAAAAATAATTAATAATATTATTTAATTTTAATATTTTTTAAATAGTAGAGTAAGAAGTGTTGGCAATATAAAAATACTTTTTTATTGACATCCAGTTTATTATCAAGAAGATGATTTTATTGATTATAATTTTCTTCAACTCATGAACAATGATGATATAGATTACATTTTTTCTACATATACAGAATTTTATAAAGCAAATATGATTGAATTGTATGTTAAGATCGAACAAATTGAAAAGATATATAGCAATTTGTATTGACTATGAATTTAAATGAAATTATTGTTTATTTACGTAAAAGTATGTACAATGATGATTCATCAACTAACTTATATAATCCATAATGTTAATATTTTTTAATAATAAATAAATTTTTATATATTAGATATATTTGCATTTTTTAGTTTTATTTAAATTGGTAATGTTAAATTATACAGGTGATTGTAGATTTATTTAATAATTAAAATTAATAAATTGTATTTATAATTAAATATAAAATAATTAAATAAATTTAAACAAAAAATGATTACGTTAATTAAATTAGTATTGTAATTTAAAATTTAAATAATATTATAAAATACTTATAACAATAAATTATTACATATTGATTAAAATTAATATATTTTTATTTACTATAAGTTATATTATTAAAACATAAAATTACTTTATTAAAAGGCCAGCATGTGCTTCATGTGTTATTACATGGTATAACGACTTGAAAAAACAAATTATTCACATTATCTCGTACAACACTAAATACATACAATCATCCAATGCATATCCTCATATACATTGTTGCATTAAATGAATGACAACAAGTGCTGTTATCTTGTAAAGCGACATATGCATGATGTCGCATTCTTGTAAAAAAAGTATTCCCTCTATCAAAGATAGAGGCACTAAATTATAAATAAATAAATAAACAAGTCCTTTTATGAAGGACAACAACACTTACATAATAATAATAATAATAATAATAATAATAATAATAATAATAATAATAATAATAATATGCACAAATGTTTTGATGATACTAAAGTGATTATAAAGCATTGAAGAAGAATCAAGGTTGAGTTAAAGCAAGTTGATGCAAGAACAGGATTTCAAGTGTTACATAGATAAGTCTTGTTAACTTAGCTAAGAATGTAAAAGAATCTTTTAGAATTGCAAGTATGCTTGGCCTTGAGAATAAATTTTCAAAAATCTCAAATTAATCTTTTTAAATTTAAGTAAGTTCTAAATCTTTTAATAATAATAATAATAATAATAATAATAATAAATAAAAAAAAAGGTAGATTGTGAATTGTAATTGTGAGTTATTTTATCTTTTAGTGTTTAATCTTGGAATTATTTGAGATACTTATATTAATAGTTAAGAAAGAGAATGTATGAGAGGGAATATTTGTGAATAAGTTATGAGTGGGTTATAATGAAGATGTGAAATTATGTTTATAAGACCTTGTGCTTGAGACTATATCCATATGAGATATGAGGTGCTTTTGTATGATGCACATGATATGAGATGTTTAGGCATGACATGCGAACTTTATATATATGTAAGAAGAGATGATTATGTGTGATGTGATATGAGTTGGTTAAGCGTTGTGTGATATAAAATGTTAATGTTTGACTTGAGATCCTTGCGTGAAACGTTTGAGACATTTGACGTATTATGAGATGATTTTATCTTTTTACGAGTCTTGCTCTTATTAGTGTGACTCAGTAGCTAGAGGATATTAATGCTTATTTTATATCTTTTTTGAGAACCATTAGTTCCACAATATTATTTTTGAGGATATTTATTTTAGACTTAGAGTTTGTTTTATTATGTTTTACTTTTGTTGAAAATTGGTAAAAGTCAATTTGTGCATCCATCTACAAACTTATATCTTGTTTCGTTTTCCTTTTATATTTAAGAGCTTTTAATTTATTTAGTAAATGAGACATATAACCCTACTACACATTTAATTGAGAGTTTTATTTTATCTTTTATTAAGGACAAATTTTTTGTAAGATATTGCTTAATAAATGTTTTCAAGTAGAAAGTTATCACAATGTATAGGATTAAAGTAAAATATTTTTAATAATAAAGACTAAAAAATAAAAACCATTAAATTATATAGACCAAAATAATTATTAGATTTTTTAATTTAATATCAAGTATATTAAATATGTTGTAGTTTAATCAATATAAAGGACTAGTTTCCACCGGGTACTATTTCAATCGATGTAAAAAGTCATTTTCTAATTCATAAGAATCCTTTTACACATTTAATTGAATTTTTTCTATTTTATCTTTTATTAAGGATGGGTCTTAATACTTCATAAATATTTAGAGGGTAGAAGGTATTAAAATGTATAGAGAATAAATAAAATGTTTTTAATTATAGAAACTAAAAAAAAAATGAAATTATAAAGAAAAAAATAATAATTAAACTTTTTTAATTTGACATCAACTATATTAAATATGATATAATTTAATTAATGTAAAAAACTAGGTTTGATTTTAATCAATATAAGAAATCATTTTTTACATTGATTCATATATATCAGCTGAAACAATATTAATTTCACATCCGAATGCGAAAATCATTATAACCTATGTAAAATGATTTGTCTGTAACAACCGGCAAATGAAATAACAACACATTCTCTGTAGTGATGGAGTGACTATTAAGCCAAGGTTTAGAAAATTTTCTAATTAATTGAGCAGCATCTAAATCTAAAATAAAGAAAAAAAAAACTGATTTTTTTTTATACCAGGAATAAACTGTCAGATATAATTAAATGGATATCGTTGAAACTTTATTTATTTGTAAATATAATAAGAAAATAATAAATTCAGATTTTTTTCAATTTTTCTATGCACTTATTATCTCTCTTAATAAAAGGAATAAATCAGTCAAATTTTACGTGCAAAAGTTTTGAATATCTTCACACGTCTCAAACTAATCAACAGTGGAATGTTGTGCCCAAAGAGTGGGTATCCTCCAAAGTCCCACATTGGAGAGTCTTGAAGGGAGGAATGTTGTGCCCAAAGTGTGTGGGTATCCTCCAAAGTCCCACATCATGTAGTTTGAAGAAGGGAGTGGTAGACTACTACTATAAATAAGAGGTGATAGTTAGTGTCTACTCACCACAACAACATAGGTTCCAATGGGTGTATTGGGGACTTGGGTAGTTGTGTGTCATGAGAGAGTTTCCAAGTTTTGCTAGAAAACTTGTGTATGAAGGTTTCCAAGTTTTTCCAAAAAAAACTTGTGTATGAGAGGGTTTGCAATTTTGTCCTTGTAAAAATTGTAAGTAGAGAGAAATAAAATGAGTTTGTTTTTGTTTCTCTATTTTTGTGTGTATGCTTCCGCTGTGGCTGTTTGAAGGCTGCTTCTTTTCCCAACATGGATAAGAACTAACTAATAGAGCCGTATGCTTTATCTCACCTTTTCCTTAGAACTTTTAAAGTCTCGTCGCTTTCCCCTGGAAATCACTTCACTGTGTCAGGTGGACTTGATCTTTTGCTTCAATTTGCACAAGTTCTACATATTGAAGCAAGAAGATTACAAGACTTTGTTGTACTTTTACATCGTTTAGTTTCCAAAGAAATTTCCTTCACTGCAGAGAAGGCCAAAAACATTGAATCAAAAACCAATAATACCCTGTAATCCTGTATGCGCACTTCCAAGTTCTAAGTGCATTTAATAATAAAATTGCCACACTATGACAAATTTGAACAACTTCAACGTGATCAAAGTCACAGATGAAGAGAAAATACAAGTTCAACAAGAGTGGATTTCATCCACAAACCCCATCAAGGTTTTGTTTCTCTCTTTAATTCTTTTTTCTTTATCATATTCATATCTGTTTTTTATTTCTTCTTGTTCAAACGAGTTTTTGGTTCTCTCTCCTAGCTACTCTTTTGCCGTTTTTTCCTTCTCCATCAAGGTTCTTTTTATATACAACATTTCTTGTCCTTTCTTGCCATTTAATGTGTCTAGAAATAAGACCAGACATTTGCTTTTATTCAACTCCATAGATTTTTTTTTTTTTTTTCATATGTAAGCTAGAAATATAACCATTGCATTTGTTATACACCTTCGTTGATTGAAAATTTTCCATCTCAACTTGGTTTTTTTTTTTCCTTGTACAGGCACAAGATTCAAGTTCAAGCTTTCCAAACGCAACACTGGCGGGGGAGGGCTTCAAGATTCTTTTCTACCTTAACCTGCTCCTCCTTGCAGCATTGGTGATTTCCCTCACCCTCTATGGCCTTGTCTATGCCTTTCGCAGCCACCATTTCCACCCAAAGCAGTGGTACCCTCCACTCCTAATAGCAACATTATGTGGTGGAATTGTTGGTTTCAAATGGCAATGGATTACAGCTAGGAATCCAACAAAGGCTATTAGAGCAGCATTTTGTCTGAGTCCCCTTCTTTCATGTGCAATGGGGGTTATGTTTGTATACATTGGATCTGCACCAAGTCTTGCTGTTGGTATTGTTGCTATGGTTTCTGCATTAATTCAATCCCTTTATGGTTGTTGGGTCAGTCCTAGATTTGATTATGCAAAGAGAATCTTGTCAGTTTCAATAGCTAATCCTCCTGCTAAAAGCATGAGGTGGGCATTCTATTCAACTCTGATTGGTGTTCTTTATTGTTGTTTTTCGGTGTGTGGAATTGGAGGAGCTAGAGCAATTGAAAACAGAACCATGCTAACTGCCTTGCTCATCTTGGTGATCCTTTTGAGCCTGGGGTGGACCATGCAATTTTTGAAGAATGTGTTGCAAGTTACCATTTCAAGGGTGAAGTATATGCACTTATTTGGGGGAGAAATCATGGACACAAGAGTGGCATTGCATGACACAGTTAAGTACCAAACTGGAAGTGTTTCCCTTGGCTCCATTCTTGTGCCCTTTATCTCACTCTTCAGGGGTTTTGCAAGGTCAACAAGTCTGATTGGAGGAGATAATGGTGAAGTCATGTTTTCATGTGTTAGTTGCTACATGGGTATTGCATCACTTCTTGTAACCCGTGGAAACAGATGGGGTTTTGTGCATGTTGGAGTTTATACAAAGGGGTTCGTGCAGGCATCCTCTGACACTTGGGACATTTTCAATAGGGCTGGTTTGGAACAACTCATAGACTTGGATCTCACTGGCTCATTTTGTTTCCTTAGTGGAATGGCAGGGGGTGCAATGTGTAGCCTAGTGAGTGGAATTTGGAGCATAGTAATACACAAGAGCTATGCTACAGAAATATCCATTTATGCTTTCTTAATTGGTTACTTCATGGTAAGAAATGACAATGGTGCATTTGATCACTAGAATATTTTCTCTCACTCATTCTTTCTCATATACCAGAAAGATGAAAATCAATTAGCACTTACATTTTCATGTAATTCAATTATTTTATTAAATATTCTTTAACCTGTTTTCTAAAATATTGATTAGTATGATCATAATCTTACATCTCATTTTTTACATGTCCTCTCCTATGCAGTTTCGGTTGGCAATGTCATGGCCACAAGCATGTGTTTCAGCTTACTATGTTGCCTATGCAGAGAATCCACAGAGCACTCAATTTGACTGCACCATCCCTGTACGTTTGGAGCAGCTTCAGATATATCAAGCTTAGATAACAATCATAACGTTGACTTAATGTCGCGCATACATTGTTTTGGTCAAAAGACTCAAAACAATGATGTTTTGTGATGTGACACTAAAATAAACTTTTATTACATGACTATATAATAGTAATATTATTTTATAGAAACCTGTAATATATGTTGTTGTTTTTGCAACAGGAACCAGAAGAGAGTGTTAAAGGTGTTTTGTTGTGTAATAAGAACAAAACCATATAAGATTAACCCTTTTTTTTTTGTAGAAATTAAGAAAGGATCTAACCTTGCACATCCTATGAGCTGAATCACAGATTCAAAGAGAAGGAAAGTACAATTGAAAGTCAATCCCGCTGCTTTCCAATACAGACCCAACAACCCATCAAGCACTTCAAACCACTGAAACAGTGAGTTTCAATTTAGACTATAGTTAATAGTTAATATGATATTAGTCATATACTTCTAATATAGTGGTATTTGTGAATAATTTTATGTAATGTGAAAAAACACAAGTTTAATTTAAAAGTTTGGTGTTGATGAGAATACCTGAATGACATGATTCTTAAAATTGACATTTTCCTTTTCCTTTCTGGAACGGTACTCCATATAGAGGACACTGATTAGATATGTTGTCCAACTTCCCAAGATTCCATAGAAAATCTGAAGCGAAACCCCGGATAGCATGGCCAGTTGAGCGAAGGAACAGGGCAGTGTCAACAACACTTGAGCCACCTAAAATATGACCAATTAATTTAGACATGGAAGATGACATAAAATAACAAAATGATCATAAAGTTTGTTTTATTTTGGTGATTTTGATTTTACTTGATTTGAGCACAACTGAACCATGCGTCCCAAATAGAGCCTCCATGACAGAGGAGGCTCTTAAAGCTGAAGCTGGAGTGCTCTTGCAACTTCTTCTCTGCTTCTTCCCTCACACCAACTTCACTCTTTGTCTCGTTTAAGCTTGCCACTATTGCTTCCTCCGCTTGCTTCTGAGGCAACACTGTTTCCATTTTCTTCAAGTGTCCTCAAAATGAATCTGAAACACATGAAAGTACACAATGAGACAAAAGAATGATCCAACACTACCCCAGAAAATGAAATCCAAGGAATAAAGAAAAGAAAAACCCAGATCCAGATATTTATTGTATCATGTCTGTATAAATATGTGTTTATATTTGTTTGTATTTATATGTGTTTATTAGTACTTGCTAATTTTGTTAATTAGAATCTACTCGGATTTTTAGTATGATTGTTATATATATAAATAAGATATTGAATGATAATTTAATACAATTGTCTGAGTACGAGAAAATAAAAATATTATATCAAATTAAATATTATGAATAAATTATGAATAAATAAATGCTTAGTTATATTTTTTTTTTATAATTCATTTGGTTCTAATTATACCCTTGGTCTTTGGTTGGCAGCTCTATTCTATTGTCAGACTTATATTGTTGCATTTTTGGTACACTGCTGGTTCCATTGGTTCTTAGAGGTAACTTTTTGTTGGTTCCATTATTTCTTATTCAAAATGTCTGATTATTATTTTTTCACATGGTAGTAGCTGTAACATAAAAGCTAGCATTGAATCTTAGGTTATGCTTCTCCTTCCACTCATCATTACTTTTAGTTTGAATAATTATTATATTTTTTTATATAGTTTATATTATAATTTTGTGGTGGTCTTGCTTTATTTTATGCATACTATACTATTTTATATTAGCAAAGCTTGATAAATTATTCTTATAAAATTGTTTAGGTATCCTTAATAATGGATAAGTCATGGATTTCAAAGCCCCAAAATTCAATTGATTACTCCATTGGTTTGAATAAATTCTTAGATTTTGCTTTTAAGAATGGAGCTGTAGGAGATACGATTCGATGCCCGTGTCCAAAATGTGGGTTTATGAAATGGCAAACTAGAGACATAGTTGATGATCACTTACTTTATAAACCATTTCCTCAAAACTATGTTATATGGGATCTCCATGGTGAAAAGGGAGCATTGGAATCTTCTCAAATGGAAGATGTTTTCCAAGATTGTGGTGTTCAACCTCAAAATCTAATGGAAATGATGATGAATGACGCATTTGAACAATACAGGCAACATGCCTCTATTATAGGTGCATCACGACCATTAAATGAAAATGAAATATTAAATGATGAGTTAAGGTGGTATTATAATGGCTTTTATGAGCTTTTAAATGATGGGAGTCAAACATTGTATGAAGGAAGCAAATACACAAAATTGGAATTTATAATCAAATTATACCATATAAAAGTTTTGTGTGGATTAAGTGACAGGGCAATGACTATGATATTGGATTTGTTGAAAGACGCATTTGAAGAAGCAAAGTTTCCTCCTTTTGTTTATGAGGCCAAGAAAATTATTAACAAGCTTGGTCTTAACTATTAAAAAATTGATGTTTGTCCAAAACACTGCATGTTGTATTTGGGAGATGATGAAAAAAGTTTGGATGCTTGTAAGGATTGTGGTAAATCTAGATGGAAACCCAAGAAGAAGAAAAAATTAGCCGCAAAGGTTTTACGTTACTTTCCATTGAAACCAAGATTGCAAAGATTATTCACATGTTGTAAGACTGCAAAAGATATGAGATGACATGTTTTGGAAAACAATAAAGATGGGTTGATGAGGCATCCAAGAGATGGAGAGGCATGGAAGACTTTTGATTTAATCAATCTTGAGTTTTCTTCAGATCCTCGGAATGGTCGCTTAGGCCTTGCTACTGATGGCTTTAATCCTGCTAGGACCTTGAGTTCTTCCTATAGCATTTGGCCAGTGTTCTTAATTCCATATAATCTTCCACCTTGGATATGTTTGAGTCACACTTCATTCATCCTATCAATGATCATTCCGAGAAAGCAAGGTCCTGGAAATAACATAGATGTGTACCTACAACCTCTTGTAGAGGAGTTATGTGAGTTATGGAATGGTGTGGATACCTACGACTCATCATTGAATGAAAATTTTAGAATGCGAGCAGCTCTTATGTGGACAATTGGTGACTTTCCTGACTTAGGCATGTTATCTGGTTGGAACACACACAGGATTAGCTTGCCCGACTTGCAATTTTGATGCGGAACCTTGTTGCCTTCAAAATTGTAAAAAATGGTGTTATATGGGTCACCATCGTTTTCTAAGCAGAAATCATAAATTTAGATTGAATCGTGTTCATTTTAATGAAAACACAGAAGAACGAAACCCACCATTAAAATTATATAGATCTGACATTTTTCGACAAGTGGAACATATTAATATTACATTTGGAAGTGGAGCCATTCAAAATGGAACAATAAAAAGATCTAGACAAGAACCCGCACAGTGGAATAAAAAAACATATTCTTTAAACTTCCATATTGGGAGTCTAATTTGTTGCGACATAATCTAGATTTTATGCATATTGAGAAAAATATATGTGACAATGTGATGTATACATTTCTCCATGAGAAGGATAAATCAAAAGACAACCTTAATGCCAAAAAATATTTAAAAGAAATAGGCTTAAGGCATGATATTTGGCTAGATGATAATGGAAGATATCACCTTGCTTTGTTTTCACTGACCCGCGATACCAAAAGGTTATTTTTGGAAACTTTGAAGACTATTACAGTACCAGATGGTTACTCAAGTAACATTTCCAGATGTATTGATTAGAAACTTAACAAAATATCTGGGTTGAAAAGTCACGATTTCCATATTATTATGGAACAATTGCTACCACTTGCAATTCATAACTTGTTTCCAAACCATGTGACTTCTATCTTAGTGAAGTTTTGTTCTTTTTTTAGAATGCTGTGTGGTAAAGGCTTAAATCTCCCAGAACTTCAATTGCTCCAAGATCGCATTATGGTTACACTATTCCACTTAGAAATGTTATTCCCTCCGTCATTTTTCACAGTTATGGAGGCCCAATGCATTATCGATATATGTATCCAGTGGAGAGGTAAACATTTTAATAGCTTAAATTTTTGATGTCATATTACAAATATCTTACTAGTGCTCTCTAATTGTTAATCATTTATGTAGGGAATGAGGTCACTTAAAATACTTTGTGCGAAATAAGGCACAACTTGAAGGATCCATAGCTGAGGGGTATTTAGCTGAAGAGTCCCTTACCTTTTGTTCTCGGTACATTGAAGATATTGAGACAAGGTTCAATAAACCTAAATGTGTTTGTGATGATCCAATTGATAATGAGACTTCTTTTATGTCTTCTATCTTCCCACAAATTGGTAAACCAGTAGGAGCTTGCTCAATGTTCACTTTAACTCCAATGCAAAAATTGCAAGCTCATCTGTATGTGCTCCTCAATTACACAATAGTCACACCATTTGTAGAGTGAGTAAAATGAGATAAACTTATTATTATTAGTCTACTTAAAATATTATAGCCATGTGCATTGATTATAATAATTATTTATGTAGTGAATTTAGACAATTCATAAAAAGGAGTTCAAGAGGAAGAAGTCCTTCATCTACGGAGATAGAGAAGAAAGTCAATAAAAAGTTTGTTGATTGGTTTAGAAAGAGGGTGATTAGTCATTTAGTGGTTAGATATCTTTTTTTACCATTTTTTTTAAACTTTGACTTCCAATTTTTCTAGATTATGAATCCAGACACAACAAGTGAAATGTCTACTGATCTAAAGTTTCTAGCATGAGGACCTTTGGATAATGCAAGAAGATTTATTGGATATAACATTAATGTGTTCAAATTTCGAACCTTGGCTTGCGAAGAGGGACTAAAAACACAAAATAGTGGTGTTTTTTTAACATCTAACACATCATGTGTTTCAAGTAGCATTGATGGCAACATAAGGCAAGCAGACTTACCATATTATGGGAAGTTAGAAGATATCATTGAGATTAAATACTATGGTCAATTCAGTGTTATCCTTTTCAAATGTAAATGGGATGATACTACACGAGATAGAGGGTATAAAAAGGACTGTTGGAATTTTAATTGTGCTAACTTTGATAGATTGGTTCATGTTGGCGATCGTGAAGAACATGAACCATTCATTGAAGCATCTCAAGCACAAATGGTGTACTATGTAGATGATGTAGTCAATAAAGGATGGAATGTTGTTGTACATATGAAGCCAAGAGATTTATATGACATGGGAGAAGAAGTAGAAGAAAATGCATATGAAAATGAGCCATATGAAGAGCAAGAGCTTGAACAATTTTCTAGGCTTGATGATCAATATGTACAATTGGCTACAAACCATCTAAATGATAATATAGTTGATTGAAGTTTGACTCCTAAAATAGCAAGAAATTCACACTTGTCTGACTATATTTATTTACTTTTGCACTTCTTTATAGGTAATAATTTGACTTGTAAATTTTGTGATTATTTCATTTATTGATTATTTTAAACTTGTTTTAATTTTGATATTATATAATGTTTAATTTAATTGTTCTGTATTTATTTTTCTCTTGATGTAGTCATGCCAAAGTTGAAGCATTTTAGAAATCCACAAAAATCAGCACCTCAATCACAATGTGATGCACCTTTGACACAAGCTCCAACACATTCAGTTCTAGTAATGAATTATGAAATTCTTTCCACACCAAGTGATTCCTCACAAGCTCCTGAAGTCCCAACTATTAATGTCCCACTTTCTCATGTAGCAACTTCTGAAGTGCCACAAGAAGATGAAACTTCTAGACTTCATGTTGGGCGTGTCTCTACACAATGTTGGACTATTGAGGCAATAGGTATATAAGTATTGTATTTTCACTTATAATTATTGTAATATAAACTATATCAAATTTTCTTATTATTAAGTACTTTTATTATTTAAGACTTTGAAGACACTGTTAAGAAGATTAAGGTGAAAGTTAGGGGAGTCAATAACTTACCTAGGGAGTTACGCATCATTGTGGATTTTGATAACCAAGGCCAAGCACTTGGTGAAGCACAAGCCTTTCTTGCTGGATTTCTTGGAACATTGGCTGCTGATTGCAAGTTATTTCCTATGGATTATGATAGGTGGTTTAGACCTTCAGGCGTACCTAAATCTTATTTTGATGATTGCTTTGAAACAATTTTAAAGGTAT